CTTTGGCCAGTTCCACCCAGACGTGCCCACAGAGGCGGGGCTGCAGGGTCTTCAGAGGAGGGGGGCTGCACACAGCACTGAAGAGAAGCCCTGGGCAAGAAGAAACCACACCTCTGCTCCTTCTTCCAACCCATAGCTCAGCCTCCGGGCGACCACGAGGACATGCAGTACTAGGAAACCAGGGTCTCCCTGGCGTCCATGCAGTCGGTCTCCCAGGAGCACATTAGGGGCCCGTCCCCCGTTCTCATGGCTCCAGGGTGCGTCCTGCATCTCCATATCACCCACGCCCTTTCCATGGCCAACGCAGGTATGCGCCTGCCTCTGCACGTGGGAGGGTGGTGGCAAACGCCACAATACCACCACCCGTAGTCACGCCCGAGCCTGCAGGTGGGCCTCGAGACCCCACCCGACTCAGGACCAGGAGGGCTGCTTAGCAGAGGCCTCCTCTCCACCTGGGGCCCCTCCCAGGGCATGCCCGGACCCAGCGAGGCCAAGTCACCTGCAGTCCAGTGTCACCACAGGGCACGCACATGCCCTGGCCTGGCCTGATGCTCAAGAGTCCTGGGCGGAGGCAGCATGGGGTCCTCCATGGAGCCCGGGCTGCCCAGTCAGCTCACAGGGAGGGCTCACGGCGCTCCAAGTGCATCCTGAATTAGTCACTTATTGATTTGTAAAGAAAGAGTCTAGGGACCAGCAGGTAGTATCATAAAAAAAAAAAAAAAAAAGAGTCTAGATTTCTGGCTCGCTTTGAAAAGGATCCTTTTTAGGCGTTAAACTGAGTCCAATCCCGTTAGTAGATGTGGTTACCTACGCACTGATGTTAGGCTGTTTCCTCCTGAGTCAGGTCTGAAGTGGCTCTCAGGGTGGGCCCACAGGTGTCTGTGGAATCTACACAAACCCCTCTTCCAGCCCTGATGCCTGCGTTTTCTGTCAGCTCCTCGCTGCTGCCCGGCCCGCACCCTGCCTTCCACGGCCATCCCTGCCAAGGCCCCAGGAGGTGGAGGGACAGCCAGCCCTCACGAGGACCCCCAGCCAGTGCTTGTCAGTGAAGTGGAAGGCAGGTCTAGGCCTCGCGCTCAGGGCCCCCGCAACAGCCAGCCAGGACACAGCCCTGGCCAGACAGGGCCGAGGCCCACAGAGGATGGCCAGGCCGTCAGCGGTGAGTGTGCTGGGACATGCCCAGGCGTGGTCTGAGCCTGGCTGTCTCACGCTGTGCTGCACAGCCTGGCAGCTGTGCCTGAGTGTGACGATCCCCGAGGAAGAGGTGGCCGGCTGCACTCCCTCGCACACCCACTGCGGACCTGCTGGGTCCCCAAGGAAGAGGCGGCCGGCTGCACGCCCACGCACGCCCCACGCATGCCCATGTACGCCAGTTGCAGACCTGTGGGGTCCCCGAGGAAAGGATG